CACAGAGAGAGAGAGAGAGAGAGAGAGAGAGAGAGAGAGAGAGACCAATAGGCGCGCAGACAGGCAGATAGGCAGACAGATAGACGGTGAGCCACATGCGGAGGACATGGACAGTAAGACTACTGTGCGGGAGGCATCCGTGCTACCGAGGGAGACACACCGGGCGATTGGTTATGTTCCACAGTCCCCGGAACGCAGAACACGCGTGGTCCGCTGGGCGTATTTTTTCCTCCGTGGTAGGATTTTCTTGCTTCTTGTGTCTCCGAACTGCACGTTGCGAGATATGACTTCCGCCGCCCGGCGTCTACTGTTTCCTAGGTCTTTAATAGCTCATTATTAAGGTCTATCGTAAGCTGGTTTGTTGGTTAGGCTGTGGCCACGAAAGAACGCGCCCGCGCCCGTCGGACCGCGTCGGTTGGACAGTACGGATATTTAAAGCTAAAGGGCGGAGATCGGACTCCTCTTTTGATCTGAACATGCACCAACGCTTGTGAACATGAGAGCTATGTCCTTTAGTTTTTGGGAGCGGAGGTATCCTTCTTCCTTGAGAGGCGTTTAGCACCCAAGCGGACCTTTTGGCTTGGGGTACGCTTGTACCGTGCATGGTAGACATGATTCCCACGCGTAGCCCAGACAGTGCGGGACGTTGGCTGTCTCAACTAATACTGTTGGTAGCAGACTACAGCCAGGCCTGGGCAGAGGTTCGTGGTACCAAATGAATCCGCAGGCGCGGGTTGGGTGGGGGAATCGAGCCTTGTCCCGACCCTTATCTTCGATTTGTGCCCCTGGATTTGGTTGCCCCTCCGCCCCGTGCTAGGCCCTCACCCGCTCCCCACTCTAGTTGCATTGCTTAATTTCGAGAGTAACTCCCTTGTGTCTGATACTTCTTGCCCGTACCCCTTCCGTGCACCCCCTCTACACCCAACAGACGCTGCGACCGGCGAGATAGAGGAGCTTCGGGATAGGGACGTCGTTGTTATCTGCTGTGAGTTTATACCCTCCCAAGGCGTTGTGTGCAATCAGCGGCGCAGGTTGGACCTTCGGTTCAACCTGTGGCCGGTGAATTCGCTTTGTTCACAAGAGCGACACTGCTGCTGCTGCTGCTGCTGCTCCACCTACCGCTTGCGATGTACGAAAGTGGCGTAGGTTATTTCCAGAGCTTTTGACTTCGCGCTGTCGTGACGACTGTGTGCATGGTGCATGGTGGCTGACATCATCCTTTTTGCCCACTGAGACTCCCGGTAGCGAGCGAACGGCAGGGCTATTGAGCACCTGCACCTGGGGAAAACGACGAAACTATTCAAGCGTTGCCTTGCTATTCTTCCGACATAGGTGTGCAGAGCATGACCCCGACTTTCGCTTGTTCGCGACCATGGACGGCACGTGTTCTTACATTTCACCTGATGTTTCGACCGGTTAAAGAACGAAGGCATTCCGCGAGTTTTTGGGCTGTTCCGTGCGTGCGTATGTGCGGTGTTACTCTCTCGCGCAGCGTTTTCGGCTGGAACTTTCGAGGAGGGTAGGATCGATTCAGACGATTTCGAGTCGGACTGGTTGGGGGGCGGGGTGGAGGACGGGTTTGAAGGCGAGAGATGGCTCAACATCACGGCTGAGGTAAGGTCAAATGCGGGTCAACTGGCGTCGGTTCGGGTCTTTTTGCCCGTCGCTCTGTGTTTGGCCTCGCTCGGTTGGTATGTTTCGGGCATGGCGCAGTCGGTCACGCAGAAAAGGAAAAAAGATACGTACGAAGCACTAGACGAATGCATTGTTAAGTGCGGCAGTGCGCTTTGTATGCCGTTTCATTCTGCAGAGTAGGAGGAGGAGGAGGAGGACGTGACCGGCGAAGTGTCGAGATGCAAGCATGGGTGCCATCATCAGACAATTTCGTTCGTTGCGTTGCTTCATTGCGACCCGAAATCGAGATTCGCAGCCGTGATAAAGTCATGTCTACCTGGCTTTTGATTGTTTTGTGTTTCTGGTGCGGTAAGAGAAGAAGCGGATAAATGGCGAACAGGTCGGCTCAATAATTATCACCGCTCGACTTTAATTTTTGTAGTTCTGGTGGCGGGGAGTGCAGGGTACGCAGGGTACCCAGGAGTACGCTCTCTCTTTCAAAGGTTGAAGGTTTTTTCTCCTTTCGTTCTGTGTCTTTGCAGGGAGTGCTTACGGTAATGAGAGCAAGGCTGGACTTGGCTACGAACAAGAGCTGCCATGGGGTGGAGCCCAGCAATGTCCAGGTAGGAGGGGGGGGTTGGGGGTACCAAACGAATACGGTAGTCGTGAGATCATAAACTTCGCATGCCGGGACGGAGCGATATGACGCTCTCTCGCCGGCCCCGGCTGCGTTTCACAAGCATGCGCCAGAAGCTGGCCATCGTCCTCGCGTTTGCTGTGCCAAGGAGGAGGCCACATAGATGTCATGTCCGGGTTACATGATGATTTCCGTCGGCGTACTCGATGCGGGCGCTCGGTGACGTCGTCGAACTGGGGCACGGTAGGGAGCGGGTATCATCAAGATGTCCTCTCTTGTCTTGCTAGTCGCGGGTTTCAGAGGAGTGGAAGGGTGCTCGCGCGGGGAGAGATATGGCAGGCGTATCGGCAAGGCCTGCCTCGTGGGGAATGGTTATCTGTTCCACGACTGTCCAGCTGATAGTGCTCAAAGCCAGAGATGTTGAGCGAAGCACACAGGGATATGGCGAGCAGAACAGAGTGCGTTATGTAGCATCCAAATACGTACTGGCTGTTTCGTACCACATGGCGTTGAATGTTTTCGGTAGATACCCCGTTTCTTTTCTCCCCATCTCTCTCTCTATCTCTCTCTCTCTGTCTCTGTCTCTGTCTCTGTCTCTCTCTCTCTCTCTCTCTCTCTCTCTCTCTCTCTAGCTCCCTCCCTCCCTCCCTCCCTCCCTCCTGTCTGACCCCCCCCCCCCCAACCCGCNAACCCGCGCTGTCGCTGTGACCACGACAGGTGTACTTGGAAGAAAACTCTGGCTTTAACATCACCGCAAGCGATCAGCTGACGTACAACACGTGGCTGGCGGGGCAGGTACGAGCCTCAAAATGAGCAATAGCACCAACGTCAATGCCGACGTCAACACTTGCGACGATATCAATGTACACTCCATGTGTACAATAGCATCAACCCAAAGGCAACACGACATGCACCCGTATGGTTGTGTTTTTTTGTATCCACCTTTTGTCTACAGGACGATAACATCAACCCCAAAACACTCGACAGCCATTTGGTCTTTTTTGCTCCCTCACGTCCTTCCGTACCGTACTCGTCAGGGTATGGAATTTCCGTACAATAGTCACAGCTACGCTGTTTTCGCGGAAGACTGTTGTTTCGAGATACAACCCCCGATGTCCCCCGCCCCTTTCGAATAAACAATCACCTTGATTCTGACCTTTTTCCAGACCTGTTTATGCTAGTACATCAAGTATCACACCGTGCCCCCTGTCATTCGGTGGAAAAAACAGGCGCACGATCGAAATTTGTCTGTCGGGCTCCGGAACGATTGGCTGCAACTGGACGACCTGGAGCCGTCCTTCGACTGGGCTTTGAGTGAAGACTGTCTTTTCCAGGGGGAGTGCGGGGTGAGTACTATTGTCGCGGGACACCAGGGGGGGGGGTGCTGTTCAATTGCCGTGTTCAGCTTGTCACGGTGAAGTTCTAAGTTGATTGGGGTCGTTGCCATCCATCCATCGCGCGGGCGTACGAGGGTTGGTGTTGGTTAGTGTTGCCGCAAGTTGGGCGTGTTGAGCGCGGCATGCTATTCTCGCCTCTTGACGTTGTCGTGCTCGTCGTCGTGATGGTCGTCGCATCGGGTTGGTGGGTATCAATTTCTGTGTCGGTGGCTCGTCGCGAGAGTGTTTTAGTCTGATCGCGTAACAAGCGCCCTATTTAGGGCCTCTTGCAACACCGACTGATCTGCGAGGTGCCGGGTTGACAACCAACGCGGAGTGTCCTTGAGTGGGAGTCTAGGGCTGACAACACAGGAGAAACGTCATACGATCCCGATCGCTATTCATATATCCTGACGCGGAAATGCCTATGATGATCGAAGGGAGTAACGATGTACGACAACAACGTGACAGATCCTAATGCCAGAAACGACATTAGGGTTCGGAACTGAACTCTTGAGTCTTTTTGTACGTACCCCTATCAACATTTCACTCCTCCAAAAGTCTGCACACGGGAGCTCAGCCAGTATGTGCAACTTTGATTGAATGATCTGGGTACCAGGCAATGATACAAGATGTAACAGAGCGATGGCTTTCTTTTCCAAGTCGTCCTGAGGCCGATGTGAACCCAAACACAGCAGCAGTATCACGACGGGAGGAGGGTACGTCAAGGCGTTGTTTGACGAGTCGACCTGGCAGGCACACACCGGCGCTCAGAGTGGGACAGAGGGGTGCAAGCGCAGGACAAATTCTCCACTTTCCTCCTGCTCTGGAGTTTCTCTCCCTCCGTTTGGAACAGGAGAACGGTTTGAGTAGTCACTCACGACTACATCGCTGTTTCACTCCTATGTTGGGAGAGTTTTTCACTTCCCGGAGGGATTTCAGCCCATGGCACTGCCTCCTTGCGCGACTGCTTCCCACCTTCGGTTTTGATCACAAGAAGTGTTGGTGGTGTCACTCATGGCTGCATTCGCGCAGTGTCACTCCTAAGTTGGATATTTTTTCACTCCGCAGATATTCACCCCACAGCACCTACCTCCTACAGTGCTTGTGGCCTTCAATTTTCGACAAGAAAAGTGTGAAGCAGTCACTCAAAAGTTGATGCGAGCGTTTTCACTCCGAGTTGGGCAAGCTGTTCACTCTGGAGATATTCCTGCGGTCAGCACATACCCCCTACAGTGCCTGTGGCGTTCAATTTTCGACGAGAGAAGTGTTAAACAGTCACTCACGACTAGATACGAGCGGGTTCACACCAAGTTGGGGACGTAATTCACTCCGGAGACGTGCCTGCGCACAGCACCTACGTCCCACGGTGCTCATAGCCTTCAGTTTTCCACGAGAGGGGTATTCAACAGTCACTCACGACTACATCCTCCAGCGTTTTCGCTCCAAGTTGGGGACGTGGTTCACTCCGGAGATATTTCAGCGGACAGCACCCACGTCCTGCGGTGCTCATTGCCATCACGTTTTGACGCGAGAAGGGTTGCCCCCTCGCAGCCACGTTCGCGCTTGTATTGTGGGTTTCGGATTGTTCACTCCGAAGATGTCCAGCGCACGGCGTCTACCTTCTGCGCTGATTCTGGCCTTCAGGTTTTGAGGAGAGAAGGGTCAAGCAGTCACTCTGAACCACATTGGAGCATCTTCACTCCAAGTTTGAGATCTTGTTTCACTCCGGAGATATTTCAGCGCACAGCACATGTCGTTCGCGGTGCTGGTGGCCTTCAAGGGTTGTCCACAGAAGGCTGAGCAGTCACGGAAAAACTTGCTGGTATTGGCGTTTTATTGGTGGCTTCGGGGCTGATTTCACACCGCATAGCTCACAGGTCGTATCCAGGTGCTTCTACGAGAGCGGGCGGCAACTTGTCAACTCAGCCACACTTTAATTGTGTGTGGCGGAGCTCTTCGACACCATGTATCGATAAAGGGATGAAAACACAAACGCTTGCGGTGCGATTTTGCCTGCGATGGACGCCTTTCATTGATACGTGCGATAGCGCCGGCATACGTAGCGATTTGCCACTGTCACAGTTGTTGCAAAACGCTGCCTTCGATGTCATCTTGGCATTTGGCAGGCCTACGAGCCTAATTTTATCTCTGCCGGCAAGGCCGTGCTGGACGTGGAGTACTTTCAGTTCGATCTGGCGTTTTGCGACAACGTCACGGCTTCTGGGCTGGACATCATCATCAAGGTGGAAGTAACCCAATCTCTGGCTGTGTTGTTTGACTGGCGTTGTTGTGTAGGTTTTCGTTGCGTATCGGTGGCGGCGTTAAGAACGCGCCGCGCATCATGCATGCCCGTTTGCGACCGCACGGCAATGATTCATTGATTGCAGTGTATCTCTGATTAGCGTACTTGAACGCCACATTATCCTCCTGTCCTAGTATCCATCCGTGCGTCGTTTTTTTGCTTCCGGTGCCCTCATCCTCTTGCCGCTCATCATTCCGACAAGCATGGGTGTAGCTGCTGACTCCGACAGCTATCGTGATACTGCGATATCCTCACTCTCCCAGCTAGCCCCACTGAACATCAGGCTTGACCGTCGCGACGTTGCTGTTTTCACTGCCCCCCTCCGCAGGACCTGTCACTTGATGCTAGAAGATGCAGCTGCCAGAACCCTTCCACGCACATCGACTGCGACGAGCTCCTTACCCAGAGCCCTACGGTAGCGGCGGACAGCTCATCGTCGTGGGTTATCGCCACCGCTGTGGGCGCGTCGTTGTTCATCATTCTCGCCGCGACGCTGGTGGGCCTGTGGCGACTCAGAAAGGCAGGGGGCGGGGGCGACGGCAGTAACGGGGGATGGGTTAATGAAGGCGACGGGGAGATATCCGGGATAGGGTTGGATGGCACCAGTTAAAGGGGGGATGGAGGAGGTCAGGGGCAACCGGCATGCAACAAGAGAGAAAGCGGGGCGTTCCATGTCTGTGACGGCGGCAGGAATCCGGAATTTCAGCCGGCATTAGGCGCCAAAGGGTCAAGTATCTTCAGGCACGCAGCACGGACTCTTTTGCAGAAACACTCAATCTGCGCGCAGACAAGGGCTACGTGGTGGAGTTTTTTTTGGCGGGGGGGCATACTGTGTGTTTCATTCGTCAGACCTAAAACCTTTGTTTTCGCCACATGGAAGGTGGGAGGAGTTTGCTGTGTGTTCCACGCTCGCCCCAGTGTCACGCCGAGCTTGCATGGACCCTTGTATTTCCAGATTGACCGCGTTGCGGGACGCGCCTTGTTTCCTAGATCTCGTCACTTTCTCTCTCCTTCCCGTATTGCGCACACCAAGCGATTCATAATTATAGTACGGTAACGTTCATGTTCTTCAGGCGAAGTTCTTGCAATAGCGATAAATACATGGAGAAGCGAGGTCATTATGGTCGTCCCCATTTTTCTTGGGGTTCGGAAACTTCTCGCCGTCCTCTTCCCAGGCATTTGTTTTTTGCTTCAACAAAATAGATCATCAATACCAACCCGTACCACGGTCCTAGGTTGAAGCTGACTAGCGAGTTACGATATCGTTGTACACTGGTGGACTTTTTAGCGGGAGGGGTAGACATCATCAGACCTCATTATTTGTTTTTCTTTAAAGAGATTTATTCCTTTCGTAAAACACCATCCGGGAATGAGATCGTGAATTCAACTGTTAAATCGTGGATTTTGTAAAGGATCAAGCAGCGTGCGTTTGTTGAGGCAAGGCATACTTTTCTAGGTGTAGACGAGCGCGTTGTTCCACCCACCAGGGAAACGTCTTATTTTTGTCGACAAGCTTCTTTCTGTCCGTCAATCGATGTGCATTGTTCTCAGATGGCGAATTTGTCGGCGATCGTGATTCGCCTTCGCTGCGGGTTTCTCGAGGACGGTGGTAGCGAATGGGGGTATCGCAAACCATGGTAGAATTGGCCCAAGATGTGTACCCTAGCCGTTTACGGCATCGGTGAGCCCGATGTGTGGCGAGAGATGGTGTGACAGATTCAGATGCAGCCGTATTCTTCTGTCATCTGTAACTTTCATTTAACATCGGTTCAATCACCTTCTTGCCTCGACCAATGGCATGGAGCAGGTGCTCCCGCATTGAGCCACCAACCAATGCCGCCGCCGCCTTTCGAGAGTTCCTACAATTTCGGCGGCCTCTGGCTCTCTTCGTAATACCCGCGTCCTGGGAACTGTGTGTTATATTTTCTGTTAGGTCAGTGGGTACAAGCTTCTGCACAGGTATGGTTGACAAAAGCGTTTTCATATGGCGGTGTTGAGTCTTTCGCTGACCGAAATTCCGGGCCAGACACGCATGCAGAGGGTGGCGGGGCGAACAAACGGGCAAGGACCTACCCTAGGCAACTGCACTAAATCACTAGATGCCGTGACCGTACAATGCGACGCAGCGACTATTCACGCATCCCTCCCACAATGGACGGTAACGGTGACGCCTGCTATCGGATGTTCGTACTGCTACTTGCTTGTTGGCGAGTGAAACTGGTAGGTGTCGGTTCGCACATCGCCGAAACGACGGGGCGGCGGACCCCAGTTCACAATGGGCGGGGTGCCGCGCTTGCCGAGTGTGTCCAATCGGGGCTGTCCGCGCGAATGGCATCACCCACCCCACCGACGAAGGAAGAAAGAATCAAAACATTTCAAACTATAGAATATATGGTCCAAATGTGCATAGTCTAGCACCTTGAAGATGGGGTCAAGGGTTGGTAGAAACTCCCGCGCCTTCTTCGTCTTGAAACCGCCATTCTGGCGATGAGAGAACGCCTGCACCTGGCGCTCGGCGTAGCACTGCCGGGACTCAAGGTCCCCGGCCTCCTTAAGCTGAGTGTGCTCCGCGTCGCAGAGCATGATCAGCAGCAGGGGCAGGGTTACCTGTTCACGCTCGAGGGGGCCGAAGGGGTGGAAGCATGCAGATGATTTACATTTGGTCAGAGGTTGCTCAAAGGATGATCATTGGCAGTCGACGTAAGGGTGTTCTTTAACTACTTCTCGCTGGTTCTACCAACACCACCGTTAGTTTTCTGTTCTCTTCACGGTCCCAGGTCACACAGTAGCTGCATCACTAGCCTATACTTTCGACGCAATTGTCAATCGGAATAAGCACCCCCTTCCCCATGCAAGTACACAAGTAAGTGCGTCTTGTAGCGTTGCGGGAAAAGCCATGGGTCGGACTTCGGGAGAAAATAAATGCAGCGAGATTTTTCCTGGCCTATGTAGACGTGGGAATAAATCAAAGTTGTCCATGGCACCTTCTAGGCCTCGGTTGGTCGTAGTAGTGTTGAGAGGAAATCTGCCAGGTGAAATGCAGTACAACGTGCAAACACCCATTCTGTCACCTGCGCGCGGAAGCACTCGTGAAGCAGGTCCTGCCACAAAAGGTGCCCCTTCGACAGTAGGTACTCGTCGAAACCAGGCGTTCCTTGGTGAATCGCCACATCACATCCCTAGGGTGCTAGAATTAGCATCAAGCAACACAGGGCGCGCCCCCGATCGAGAACAATAACACCGTGCGGCTGTGTAAGACCGCACCTGCACTCGCTACCAAGGACACAATTACCTCATTACCCAAAAGGTTCATGTCACAAGCACAGCAGTTGAACAGACCCTCAACAGGCTACTTCATCCATCGAAAAAACACAAGGCAACAGCGAGTGCTGCAGTAGTAGCAACGATCGATGCACTCGTTGCTCACATGTCCTTCAAGACCGTCTGGATGCCGGTGTACATTCTCGCGCCATTCTCCTAAAAAATCTCCCGTATCAATGGTCGCCGACTTACGGCTCGCCAGCTTAGGAAGCAGCTCGACCTCAATGGTGTGGATCACTGCCATGAGATTCGGCCACCACAACAACAGGGGGTAAAAAGGGGCGCTCTGCGTGGGGTCTTCGCACACCGAACACAACAAGCAACACGAACAAGAAACACGGGCAATGTACAGTACCTAAACGACGATCAACCATGAGAGGCATGGAAAGGGCTGAAAAAAACTTGGGAGGGTTGTGATAGTGTCCACCAATCAACCGTGGGCAGCCCGCGTTGAATCAAAGGATGCTGACTTGCTACTTTGCTCAACACCCGGTTGGCCATGGATCGAGAACTTGTGTAACGATCGCGGGTTTCCAAGAAATGAAGCACGGGTGGAACTACAAAAGAAAATCACGGCGCCCGGGAATCTGCCCTTCGATTCAAACTGCCGTCAAACTGCTGCTGCTGCTGGGGCACGGCACAACTGCATACCCCGGACTTATAAAAAACTTCAAACACGGGGGGCGGGGGGG